CCCCCCCCGAACTAAGAGACTGGGTGTCAGGATTTGTTTCAAACTATTCTGAGTCATGATCCAGGGCGTTAAGAGAGGTGAGGGTGGTCGGCCCATGGTGCTGGGGTTGGATGCCAAGGAGTCTCTGGAAAGGGAAGAAGGAGGTAGAGCTAGGGTGTGCACCACCACCCCTCATAGCCCCAGCTATCTAGCTCCAGAGTGCCTGACACTACGGAAGCTGGCCCCAGAGTCAGGGAGGTGCAGCAGGACCATCGAGAGGGGAGAAACAGGTAGTAGGTATTTTCTCCCCTTCATTTCTTATCCTCTGTCCTGCCTTGAGGGTTCAGTCTATTCCCTAGATACTCTTCTCCCAAATTGCAGATAAAATGACCATTTGTCCCTTTCTCTTTTTAGTAGCTTCTTAAAGCAAGGCGTGTCAGATAATCAGCTATATCTTATGGGACTGAGAAATGTTTGAGACATATGGGGTCAGTCTGCCCTGTATTGTCTAGATTTGGGCCGTGGTGGGGCTGGGGAACACAATTGCTGCATGAGGTGGCAGTAGGCAAAAAGTAAACACCCAGCTTATGGGCATATTCCCAGCCTACCATTATCCTTCAGACAGCTAGGAGGATCCCAGATTAGGCAGGATTTTATTCAGGGTTGAAGGTGACTGTAGAGTCTCTGTACCAGATAGGAAAAGTGCATCCTGCCTCATTTTCTAATCTCAGGGGGTCTTTGATCCTGTACCTTTTTTCCCAACCTCTCCGAGCTGGGATAGGACCCAGAGGTTGCCCTGGAGACTAGGCCTGGGGCTCGGAAGGGGTGGGGACAGTCAGTGGTGCACAGGAGTAACCGGCTCTTCCGGAGCCTAGTGGAGCCAGTGGTGGGTGTCTGTGGGTGTGTGGTGGTGGAGCGAAGGGGTGTGGTCATGGCCGTCCGACTGGTGCAGGCTCCTCCCTTGCCTGCCCAGTCTGGGACTGGCTGGCCCTATGATTGGGGATGGGAGGTAGGAAGATTTTCTCATCTGCCCTGGAAAAGGAAGAGGAGAAACAGGGATACCAGCTTTCCTCTACACCTTCCTCCTCCCGGTCCTGTCTTTCAGGTGCCAGTTCCACCCTACCTGTATTATTTTTATTTTGGGGACAGAGAGTTGTTTAGCAGAAGTTTCCTTGGCCTCTTCTTTCTCCAGAAGGAAGGACTCCTCCTTTGAGGGGAGCCTCTACTTAGGGACTTGAGGTTAGCAGACTGTTGGAGGGGTGAGTTGTATCCCCTTGTCCCCAGGTCCTTTTGGTTTTTCTAGACAAGGTCTCACCAAGTAGTCCTGGTTGGCCAGGACCTCCAGGATGTAGCCCAAAGGAGGCCTTGAGCTCATGGCCATCCTCCTACTTCTCCCTCTCCAGTGGTGGGATCACAGGTGTGCACCACCATGCCTCCGTTTTGACTGAAAAGAGAGAAAGATTTTGGTTTCTGTGTTCTTCCCTTGGTAATCTGCTTGTCTCAGAAAGTGAGAAACCACCTTAGCCTCTGTTGGCCCACACCTTTGTAAGGGCTTTGGTAAAAATGATCTTTAATCCTCTCTGAATTATTTGTAATGATGGGTGGAGTCTATCCTCAAAACTCAGAAAGAGCCCACCTCTCTGGAGGAAGAAAATCCAATGTAGACTGATGGTTTTGGCCCCACCTTAATCTGCCCACACCCAGTTTTCCAATTTCTTGGCATTCCCCAGAGGAAAATGTATTTGTTGATACCCCCTAACCTGCCAGAGTCATTATCTTTTTTTCTATTGTTGCTCTTCCAACAGGTATTCGGTCTTAGCTTTGCATAATGTAGGCAATCATTCATATTATAGAACTTCACTGCACTGGATTGGGAATTATTGTGAAACCAACCCACAGTCTTGGACTGTAAGGAAAGAAAATGAAGTTTCTTTCTAATCACAGTGTATCTAATGTGTGAACTTGAAGAAGTCCACTGAACCTCTCTGGGCCTTAATTTCTTCATCTCACAAATGAAAGGTTGAATTAAAAAAAAATTCAATGAGCTGTCATATATGACACTGTTGACCCCCGCAAAACATATTTTAGGTGAAAGCCAAACTTAATCCTTTGCTAGGTTTTACTTTCCTGTTCCTAGAGGATTTTTACACAGCTATGTAGCTTTATCAGAAAAAGTAGGGAACTGTAACATGGACATTTGGGACATTTTATTTGTTGGTTAGTTTTCTGCTTATCTTCTACATTTTGGCCACTTTTAGGCTAGATTCAGGTCTTGACTCTCTGGAGCCAGAGCCGAGCCTCTTTTCCTCATGTACAGGAGGAATCTTTTGGACGTTCAAGGCCCTGCAGATGTCACCAGGAAAGTGGTGATCCAAACAGAATCAGTTTGCTCCCCCCGGACAGAGGTGAGTGGACTTCTGCTTCTCTCCGTCCCTTTACCTGAGGTAAATCGCTCCGGAACTAACCGTCAACTTTCACTTTTTCTCACTACCCTGTCCAGGAAGTAAGCTGTCCCCCGAAACTGTCTTCCAGAAGCCCCCTCAGAGTTAGGAAAGCAGAACCCACGTATCTTTGGTTAACCTTAGGACTGTGGCTCGCCTTTCAGTTTGCCCTGGGGTAAAGCAAGACTAGAGCCCGCAGTGAGATGCAGGAGCCAGTGAGATGCAGGTGCCCAGGAGACTCAGAGCGGCGCTAGGACCCAGATCCGGGTCTGGAGGAGAGACCGCTGGGCGCTAGGACCCAGCGGCCGCG